CACAATATAAAATTGTATTTCCTCATAAATTGCCCAGATCTAGGCCAGTTCACAGGCTGAGAGCCTATTGACTGAAGGAGAAGCCACATTTCCTTAAGGATAAATTCTCCAATACTGCCAAAAGTATGTATGATAATTATTTTCCCAATCCTTCCCATAGGGGATCTGTGGCCTTTCACCAAGGTAACTCTGGCCTGGGGAAAGGGGAAAGGGAAAGATCCTGACTTTTCAAGGACTGTTGAGAGTATGAGCTGGTATCAATGCCAGGGGATAGGAAACACCTTCATGTCTCCCAGTTAGATTGAGGGTCAATGAAAGCCAGGTGATAAATGGGTTCTTATGCAAGCCGGTCCAATGGGTCTGAAGATCCACACTGTAGTATATCCCTGGCCCCTAAGTACATAACTAGGATAGATATACTTAGCAGCTGGCAGGACCCTAAAGCTTACTTCCTATCCTATTAAGCAAGCCATTATGGTAGGAAGGGCCAAATGGAAGTTCCTGGAATTTCTCCTAACCCTTCTGGCCAATCTGTTAAATCAGAAATGCCTTGAGATACTGATTTATGTACATATTCTGGGAGGAATTACATAGATTATCACCAACATCAAAGATTTTCTTTTCTCAACACATTTTACTGAGAAGGATGGAAAGCTGTTTGCTTTTATGTGAGAAAAATAGCAGTATATATTCACTCTTTTGTCCTGTGGGCTATATTAATTCTCCCGCTCTGTCACCATATAGTCTTGAGTGATTTTGATTGTCTTGATATCCATAGACAGTCCACTGTATTTATGACATAAGGCTAATTTGACTGAATGAGCAGGAATAAGCAAGTACTCTAGATGCCCTAGCAAGACATTGTATGTGAGACGATGGGAGATAAAAAGTGTGAGGATTCCTTCCATATTAGTGAAGTTTTTTTCTCACCTTCTTGTTATGGAACAAATATATACAAAAGTAGACAAACCAGTAAAATAAAGCCCCAGAACTACTTTTATGGTCAATATTATTTCATCTATCTCCCTACTTGCTTCCTTCATCTCATATTATTTTGAGACAAACTGGTGACGTTATTAGAGATCCAGTAGTCTGGAGCATGCTAGGTCAACCCCTGTAACATAATGGCAAGTTATTATACCTTGTACCCTCCACCACTAAGAAAAAGACATAGTGTAAAAATGACTTAGAGGTGGTGTCTGACCCCCTCTAATTTCACGAGGAGGAAGGAGAATCAAGATCAACAGCCCAAGGTTGATTCCTATGAGGCAATCAGACAGGCCTCCTCCCTCCACCATCTTTACCAATTCTGACACCAACCGTCCCTCCCATAGCACTCTCTACTTCTCTCCTGGGTTCAATAATTCATTGTAATGGCAACACAGAACTCACAGACAATACGATTATGGAGTTTATTAGGGGAGTAACAGGTTACAATTCAGGTTCAGGAATGCTCAGGATACAGTCCTTCCAATCAGACCAGCCTCTTCCCAGCTGTGCCCACTGGTGCGCCTCTCTGGCCCTCAGCCTCTGCCCTGCTTGGGCAAGTGTTACAAAGTTCTTTTAGCTCTGCTGATAAGGGCCAGTAAGACTCAGCCCTGAAGGCACTCAGCTCTAGCTCCGTGGGTCAGCAAATCTAGCTCCACCAAGTACCCGGAGGCACCCTACTCCACCAGCAAGCATCCTGCCTGAAGGCACTCAGCTTTCTTGCTCCAGGGGCCGGGAAGCCCAATGCACCATCTCCTGATGGTCTCCTGCTAAACTCTCCTGCCGCCATTTCTCTGCCACCAGTTCTCGTCGTCTTCAGTGTTATAGCTCTTTCTCTGTCTCAGTCTCCTGGTTCCAGGAGTTTCTCGGTGTAGGGATCCAGATCCAAAGGATGTGCTCTGCTCTTGGCCCTTCTTCCTTGGTGGTGGTGAGATCCTCTCTTTGTTCTGGAATTGGCTCTCTTTTAAGCCTAATGGGATGGCAAAACTGACCAATCCCCTTGGTGGGCCACAATTACTTTATTTGCACAGTCCCACCCAGTCATCTGGGTGGGAGTTGCAAGACCATGGCGAGAAAGGCCACATAAAAGCGATCCATCACACTGCAGAGTGCTTGGGGAAAAAACTGCTCTGACCTCTTATTGGGTGCCTTGGAATGCTCCCAGGTTTTAATGAGGCCCAGAGCAAGAGAGAACTCTACAGCATGTCCAAATACAGCACACATTTCCCTGCCATTTGGGCCATACGACCCAGCAGATTCCATGGTGCTAGAGCATTCATGGTGAATAAAAATACTGGGTAGAGTCTTTGATAAGCTCTAAGAGGAGAGTTTCAGTAGCGTTCTGGAGCAACGCTATGCCTTCTGCAGCAGAAAACTATTTGCCTTTTGAAAAACAGCTACTTAGTCCCAGTAAAAACCGAGTGCCTGGCAACAGAGCATCAAGGGTCTAGGCAACCAGAGATGCCCAATTTGAGCTGGGTATTGTCAGGCAGGCCCATCAGCAATCATCATATAATAGAAATGGTACATTCAGAATCAGGACTGAGCAGGTCCATAGGGCTCATAGAAGTTAATGAACAGGTGGCCCAGACACCTATGACACCTGGCTATACCAACACTTCTCCCTCAACTCAAACCTCTGACACCATGGGCTAGTTCTCTATAACCAACTGATGGAGGGGAAAAATATTCAGGCCTGACTGACAGGTTAGCTTGATGTGTTAATTAGGCAAAAAATGAACTGTTACTGCAACATGGCCCCACTTAGGGGTGGCCCTAAAGGACAGTAGTGAAGAGAAATCCTCCCAATGGGCAGAGAGCTATAAGCAGTGTATACTTAGTCATTCATCTTGTATGGAGGGAAATATGCCTCGAGGTATTGATTTATGTACACTCCTGGGCAATGGCGAATAGATTGGTACCTGTTCAGCCCTCACACATGTGCAACCTGGAAGTGCTGGGGAGCTGACAAATGGAGACAGACTAGGAAATAAATGCCTCCTCATTCTATATAGTTCTTTAGAAGATTCCAGTGGGATCGAACCCCAGTCATCCACAGCAATGAAGGAGAGTCAAGTGAAATGAGTGAGGCACTTGCCTTGGGTACAAAATTTAAAAGGGGGGCCAAAAAATTCCGTTATAAAAGTAAATATTTTAATGCAATATTAAAAAAACTCAATATAAAAAAATCCATGATGGACAAAATTTCAAAATTCTAAATAAAGACATAATCAGTACTGCTGATTTTTCCTTTGGCCTCAGTGTCCAGTACGGAGTACAGCACCGTTACTGATCCTGGTCATTGCCAATGACCAGCTCCATTATATGCTTTTATGTGTTACCTCTTTCCCTGTTCACTCTCTCCAGTTCCTCACTCCTATTCCCTGGGATCATTATTCAAAATGAACTACCTCCAGATAAGTTCTTGCCTCAGACTTTGCTTATGTATTTGGGATGGGGGGATGAAACTCATGTTAAGTAAAACAATGACCATATATCATTCAAAAAAGGGAATTTCTGAAGTAAAGGGAAGTGATATTAATAATTTTACTAGATTAATAGGCATAAACCAGGGCTATCCTGGCACGCCAGAATATATGGTCTTATTACAGACAAGGAAACTGAGGCTCCAAGGGGCAGAAAGTCAGCCTAAGAAGGGTCAGCCTGGAAGCTACACAAAATGAAGCAGAAATGTCCCTTAGCCTCTTAACCTAGGATCTGGAGAAGCAATGTATGTGTACAAAATCTCCAGGGTGCTGGGCCCTTCACCTTGGGGCTGGGATATGTCAATCTCATCTGCCTTGTGAACCCCAGGACTCAGGCCGCAGTCCCAGTCTAGCTCACACAACAGCAGAGGTGTGATCCTGGCTTTGGTTGCCCTGCCAGGTCAGGGGTCCAAGGCAAACCTTATTTTCTCCCTTCCTCCCTGCTCCTGAACCTGGGACAGGTCCTTCTGCAAACAAAAACCAACCCAACCAAACCGATTGCCACTGAGTCGGTTGCGACTCATAGCGACCCTACAGGGCAGAGCAGAACTGCCCCATAGGGCTTCCAAGGAGTGGCTGGAGGATTCAAACAGCGGACTTTTTGGTTAGCAGCGGAACGCTTAGCCACTGCGCCTACAAATTCAAAAAGGCTCTGGGCTCTGGCAGCTTGCCCGTGGCGCTAAAGGGCCCTGGGGGAGTGGTGAGAGCGAGGAGATCAAAATCAGAACTCAGAACTGGTGACAAGATCGACTCCATTACTGTGCCCTCACAATGGGTCTGGCTCCGTGTTAAAGTCTTCTCTAGAGCCTCCAACAGGATCCTGGGAGGACCTGGTAGCCCCTGTCTTCCACCTGTCTTCTGACGCATCTCTGGGCCCATCTCTGACGCAGTGTGACCTTGCTCGTCCCCTCTGGGCTCTGGGCCTGTTTCCTCTTTTTCAAGGTGAGGCTCCTGGCAGCTTCACTGGGCGCTGCGTCTGGTAACTGAATGGAGCCCTCCTACAACGGGTGGGGAGTGAGCTCCCTGTCCGCCTGTGCCCGCCATTTGCGCGGCGTACCAGAGGAGAGGGCGCCGCTCCTGGCACCATGTCGCCGGCAAAGATTTCTTGTGAGTACCGACTTCGCTGACTCGCCCGTCTGCCCCCCGGCGGAAGCTGCCTGAGCTCAGACTCCAGACTGGAAGGGGCAGCGGAGAAGCCGCAGGCCCAGGTGAGGCCTGGGGCGATGCCGACACCGAGGGCCAACTTCTCATTGCTCTCCGGCCTCGGCTTCTGCCTTTCGCCCTCCCTCTCGGGTGGGCTCCACACAACGGCCCCCAGCCTGGGAACCAGCGCTCCGGGGTCGCCTGGAGGGAAGGGGGTGCTCGGGAGCCGAGTTTCCTCGCGGGTTAGCACGCAGCAGGTCTGCGGCCGGGCCGGAAAGTCCCCCTGCCGGGTCTACAGTGGGGCCAGCGGATGGGCGGAGTCCGAGGCGGAGCCGGCCCCAGAGCCCCGCCCCAACCGGCCCACCGCTCCCCGCCACTTCCCGCCCCCAGCGCGGGATGCGGGCGCGGTCCCGAGTCTCCTCAGTGGCTTCCAGCTCTGTGCGTACCTCCCGAGAGCGTCCCAACGCCCGCAGCCTGTTTCCTGGAAACGTTCCCCGGACTCAAGCCCCAATTTCCTGCAGCCTGCCAATCCCTCGGGAACGTTCTGACGCCCCCCGGGGAACGCCCCCAGCAGCGCGACACTGTCTCTGGAACGCTCTTATTGCCCGTTGTTGCAAGGTGCACAGCAGCGGCGGGAAGCATGCGTGACTACGACGAGGTGATCGCCTTCCTGGGCGAGTGGGGACCCTTCCAGCGCCTCATCTTCTTCCTGCTCAGTGCCAGCATCATCCCGAATGGTTTCAACGGTATGTCAGCCGTGTTCCTGGCGGGGATCCCTGAGCACCGCTGCCGGGTGCCGGACTCTGCGAACCTGAGCGGCGCGTGGCGCAACCACAGCATCCCGCTGCAACTGCAGGACGGCCAGGAGGTGCCCCACAGCTGCCGCCGCTACAGGCTCGCCACACTCACCAACTTCTCGGCCCTCGGGCTGGTGCCGGGACGCGACGTTAATCTCACTCAGCTGGAGCAGGAGAGCTGCCTGGACGGGTGGGAGTTCAGCCAGGATGTCTATGTGTCTACCATCGTGACCGAGGTGGGTACCACCCTCATTCCCCGCAGGGGCTGTAGAGTCCCTGGCAATGACTGAGTCAGAGCTCGCTACCCTAAACCTGGCCAGCGCGCAGCCCAAGAGAGCAGGACTCAGGCGAGGCTCATTCCTGGATCGTTTCTGTCCGGTGTAGAGACGTTGGGGAGGGGAGTGTTGTCCCTAACTGTCTTTTCCTTTCCAAGTTTCACAACAAAAGCAGTTGTTCCCCAAGAGCCCAGATGCTGCTCTGGGCAGACCCAGCCCCAGGCTGCCCAGATGTGGTCGTGAGTCATGTTTCTGCCATGAGGCTGGGGAGGGGTTGTGGGGACACTGCTGAGCCCAGGTGCAGACAGAAGGATCTTACTGCTGGGCAGGGTGGGGGCAGGTCTAGCTTGTTCCCTGGCCACAGACTTTGGTAGGCATCAAGGGAGTCTACTGCGCTGCCATACATCTTGTGGTGAGGCCTGGGATCCTGTCCTAGGGGTCTAATTTCTTCAGGAGGGAGCATAAGGCCTTCAGATGCTGGCTAGGTGAAGTGAGCCAGAGGAGACATAACCATAGCCCCAAGGTGCTCATGGGGAGGCAAACTCCCAGAGACCCCTCTGAGTGTAGGGCCCAGTGGTGGGAGGGCCTCCAGCTTGTGGCACTAGCCTTTCAGCATCCTAAGTCGTTTGGTGGCAGGCTTTCTAAGTTTCAGGAGTCAGGATGCACACACACTTCTCCCTCTACATTTCCTGCTTTGAATCTGGTAAAAGCCAAGGCACACCCTCTTTCTGAGGAAGGCATCTCAAGGACTGGTTTTCTGCTGTTGATCAGACAGGCGTGGTTTCCCTGCTTCTAGTCCCTCCTTTGCTCTGTGTTCCTCCCAAGAAAAACCTGAGGATGACCTCTGCTAATCCTTTATCCTCTTCCCTCAGTGCAATGTGGCAATCATCAGACACTGTGCATGGCTTTGTGCTGGGCACAAAGACATCTGGAGTGTAGGACCTGCCCTCAGAGCTCAGATGTCCATGCAGGACACTGGCCATGTCATAGAAAGAGCTAGTATCCACCCTGGTTATAGTTAAACTATGGAGCCTGAATTCAGATATTGACTAAACTGATTGCTTGCTACGTAACCTGGAGCAAATAAATTACCCCCTTTGTGGGGATAACCGAGTGAGGAAATACTTTAAGACGGGGTGATATACTTGAACTGAGTCTGGAAATATGAGAAGAACTTATCCAGGCAAAAGAACATGGCAGATTCTAGAAACTGGAATTCCTATAGATCAGAGTGGCTGGTGCGCAGGGCATAACAGGTGAAGCTAGAAATGCCCACCCAGGAAAAAAAAAAAATTGCTGTCGAGTTGATTCTGACTCATGGCAAACTGCGTTCCATAGGTTTTTTAAGGCTGTGACCTTTCTTCTGAGGTACCTGCAGGTTGGTTTGAGCTGCCAGCTTTTCAGTTAGTAGTTGAGCGCTTAACCAATTGCACCGCCTAGGGTCTCCATATGCCTACAAGGTATAGTTAGTAGTGAGCTTTGTAGGTATGTTGAAGAAGTGACTTTATTCTGAGGACAATGAGGAAACAGTAAGTTTTTAATCAAGGGGTAACATGACCAGATTGGTGTTTTTAGAAAAAGCTTGCTCCAGCTGCTTTGAGAAGCAAGAAGGCTAGTAAGGAGGCTGTGGAAGTCACCTTGGCAAGAAACAGTGGTAGCCAGCTGCGGGAGGTGACTGTGGAATCTGCAGGAACTGTGAGGAGTGGTCTCAGCCCATGGACCATCTCTGGATCTCCCCAGCATTGGCTCCAGGCCTGCCTTGGGCCCTGAGGTGGCCGTGCTTCTCTGGCTTTGATCCCCTAACAGGGGTCCTTGTGCTTGCCCAGCCCACAGCTTGGCCCAAGGGCATCTCAGACTGGTGCCCACCTCATCTCACCTCACTTTCTGAAATATTTGTCAGTACCTAAAGTTGAAGCTGGGCCCACTGGCTGCAGCCTTCCCTGACAGCTGGGCTGGCCTGTCTGCTTTCCCCTTCTTCATTGGTTTTGTTCACCTCGGGGGTGGGGGGTGGGTAGCTGCTGGCCTCCAAGTCCGTAGCTACCCTAGTTATGCCTTGTTCACAGGGCCCTGTGGGCACTTCCAGGGATGCACATTATCACACACTCACATACATGCACATGCACCGTGATTTGCCCTTTTCATTTGCTTTTTTCCCTTCCTTGCTTCCTTTTGGGTAAAATAAAAGGCAAATGGGCACCAGTGGTTGAGATGAAGGAGAGGAGAAAGCACCAGGGTGAGTTGGCAGGGGATGGCTTCCCTCAGAGTAGGGTGTTGCACAAGTAGGAGTTTTGGAGCCAGACTGGCTGGAGGGCCATTCCTGGCTGCTTTTGGTAGGTTGCTTCACTGCTCAGAGCCTCTGTTTCCATATCAGCTGAGTTGTTGGGAGGACTCAGTGAGATCATGCTTCATGCTACATCATCCTGTGGCCAGCAGAGTCTGACATCAGCAAATGGGCATCATAGGTGGGAATGGTAAGGACAAGACCCCATCACCCTCCTTGCCTTCACCTCTGGGCACTGTTGGCATTGTGGGAGCTGATTATAATGTGTAATGAGCCTTGCTGGAGGCTGAGCCCCTGTCCCCATGGTGTCAGCTCCAGGGTTCGGAGAGCAGGATACAGGTCAAAACCTGTGGTGACTTGGCCAGTGCCAGTGGGCAAAATGGTCCCAGCTCCCCAATAGGGTCAAGCCCAAGGACCCTGAGCAATTCTCTGCATCCTGGCTAGCATGGTACAGGTAGGGGGACTGCCTGAAAATTCTGTCTCTGCCCTGCACTCCTGTGTCTTAGATTCCAATGGGCGTGCCTATTGGGACAGAAAAGCCCACCAGAACCAATCCCCTGGTCCCTCCAAAGGGAAGACAAGGCTATCCAGGAATTCAAGGATGGCATGTCTGCTGTAGAAATGCCTTTCATACATGCCAGGAGGCAGGAATCTGATGTCTAAGTTGGGACTTGCATCTGTCTTTGTGTGTATGTGTATATAGGTCTGTGTGTGTGTGTGTGTGTGTGTGTGTGTGTGTGTGTGTGTGCATGTGTGTGTGAGGTAGTTTTTCCCTCAGGGGCTGTTGGTGAAATCCAATTTATTCCTCCTGTGCAGTTACCAAGAATCAAGTTATTTTTGTAACTTTTTATTTTGAAATAATTTTTAAAAATTTTATTTATTTTATTGTTGTTATTGAGAATACACATAGCACAACATACACCAATTCAGCAGTTTCGACATGTACCGTTTAGTGACATTGATTACATTCTTCGAATTGTGCAACCATTCTCACCCTCCTTTTCTGAGTTGTTCCTCCCCCATTAACATAAATTCACTGCCCCCTAAGGTTCCTATCTAATCTTTCAAGTTGGTGCTGTCACTTTGATCTCATACAGATAGTCCTTAAAAAAGCATAATGCTCAAGGCAGATATTTTTTACTAGTTAAGCTAAACTATTATTTGGTTTTAAGAAGACTTCAGGGGATATTTTGGTTTAAGGTTTAAAGATTGTCTCAGGGCAATAGTTTCAGGGGTAGAATAATTTTTGATTTAGAGAAAAATTGTAAAAATAGTAGAGAGTTCACAAATACCCCTCACCCATCTTCCCCTAATGTTAACAATTTACATAGCCATAATTCAATTATCAAAACCAAGAAATTAACATTGGTTACAATACCATTAACTGAACTACAGACCGTATTCAAATTTCACCAGTTTCTCCCCTAATGTCCTTTTTCTGTTTTAGGACCCAATCCAGTGTCCCACATTGTATTTAGTCTTCATGTCTCCTTAGTCTCCTCTAATCTCTAAACTTTTACCCACTGGCTTTAGCACCCATGACAGTTCCTTAGTCTTCCCTTATCTTTCTTGACCTCAACGTTTTTTATGAGTGTATTTGTTATTTTGTAGAATGTCTCTCAATTTGGGCTTGTGTGACTTTTCTCACAATTAGATTGTGCTTATGCACGTTTTGGTAAGAATGCTACAGAATTAGTGTGTTCTCAGTACATCATGTCAGTGGATACATGATGTTGATATGTTTTATTACTGATGATGGTTTACTAGACCCTGACTAAAACAAATATTACTATGTTACTGTGGTGTTTACCTAATGGCAATTTTACATTTCCCACATTTCTTCTTTATTTATTAATTGAAATCCTTCTATAAAGGAGAGCTTCCCCTTCACCCCGTTTATTTCTTTATCAGCTATTAATTTGTATCATTACAGAATCATGCATATTCATTTTATTCCATGAATTATAATCTAATACTAAACCAAAAAAAAAAAAAAAAACCCACTGTCTTTATTTATTTTGTTATGCCAATAGTTCCAGCTTGAACCAAGTTATTTTTTTTATTTTAAGGATAAAGAATGTAATCTAGGGTCTTAGTTATCTAGTGCTATTATAACAGAAATACCACAAATAGATGGTTTTAACAAAGAGAAATTTATTTTTTCACAGTCTAGGAAGCTAGAAGTCTGAATTCAGGATGCCAGCTCCAGGGGAAGGCTTTCTTTCTCTGTCAGCTCTGGGGGAAGGTCCTTGTTATCAATATTCCCCTAGACTAGGAGTTTCTCAGCCCAGGGACCCTGGTTCCAAAGGATGTGATCTTCTCCTGGCACTACTTTGTTGGTGGTATGAGGTCCCCCTTGTCTCTCTGCTCACTTGTCTCTTTTATATCTCAAAAGAGATTGGATTAAGGCACAACCTAATCTTGTAGATTGAGGCCTGCCTCATTAGCACAACTGCTTCTAATCCTGCCTCATTAATATCATAGAGGTAGGATTTACAACACATAGGAAAATCACATCAGATAACAAAATGGTGGACAATCACACAATACTGGGAATCATGGCCTAGCCAAGTTGACATACATTTTTGGGGGACACAATTCAATCCATGACAGGGTCCTTCATCTGTCTCTGGAGTCAGGGCTGGAAGAGGTTATGCTTGCCCCTGAGGGGAAGAGTACA